TGTGTATGTGTCTGTGTGTGTATGTGTGTATGTGTATGTGTGTATATGTGTGTGTATGTGTGTGTATGTGTGTGTCTGTGTCTGTGTGTGTGTGTGTATGCATGTGCACATTTGTCTGTAACATGAAAGCAAAGGGGGCTATTTGGAGTAAGAAAGAAACTAATAGAAGGGAGGAGGGAGGAAAAGAGAAGGATGTGTGATAGTGAGTACAAAATAAAACAAGTAAAATGACACCTACATAAAAATATCAGAAATCAACTATTTTATGTGCGCACTACAAAGTAATACAAATTCAAAATTAAAGCTTTGTTGTTTTCTCTCACATGTAGTTCATGCACAACACATATATGACATTAAGGCATGAGAGGGACTATTAAGGAGGTAGAGGAAACTATCGGAGGGAGAGGGAAAAGAGGTGAGGGTCATGGGATAAGGTGCTCCAAGCACTTGATACACTTGAGTGAAAATATTATTAGAAAATACATCAGTACAACACATATACACTGATAAAACATTTAACTGAATATGATATTAAATCTTAGCCATTTCTGAATAAATCATGACATTCCTCCAAGCTGAAAATTTAAATGGAGAAATAAATGCACCCTTTTAAGCACAAGTGGAATGTGTTACAGTGGGGTGGGCGATTTCTTAGGAGACTTCCTAGTCAGGGCACGTGCACACACGGACTTCCCACTGACACAGTCTGGCCCCCCACCTCTCCGCAGACGCTAACTTGCTTTCCTCTTTAATTGTGTCTACTTATTTGAAGGCCCCATCTACATTTTTCTATATCAGGTAAGTTTAGACAACAATGACCAAGATTTTTAGGAAAGGAGGGCATACCACGGGGCAGCCAGTGTGAGGAGGCTCCTCAAACTCTTAAGTGCAGCTAAGCTTCTGCTTAACCCCCATCACCTCATGGTGATCAGATAGGAAGTATGTATGTGCTCTCTTCACCATGGATACCACACACCTGAGATGAATTCAGCTTCCTCCAACTTTAAAACCCATCTGCTAGGCTTGAATAATCTCTTCAGACCTTACTGTGCCTTGCCCCAAATATTCTAGGGTGCTATTCCAGGTTAGAGGTATCAGAGTATTAAGACACAGACTGCTGTGGCCATTCTCCAGAATCTGTTTCAAGAACTCAGAGAAGAGTCCTTGGGGTTAGCATGGTCCACAAATTTCCAGGTGAAGTTTCACGGTGCTGGTCAGAGAATCACTGATAATTATGCAGCACTGAGAACTATGTTTCCAGTTAGTGCTAGGTGTCCTATCTCTCTTACCTCTCAGCCAATGCACAACACTGAGTATCTGGAAAGTTTTCAGATACTCACTAAGCTTCCTAAGCTATAGTCATCAGGTTCTTATTTAGTGCAGTTCTCATTTGGTAAGGTGATATGAAACCCAAAATCATGTTCTCTGTCATACGATTGTAGAAATTCTTTTATTGAATATCTAACTTAATTTGTTAAGATATTCCACTAAAGGGAAACAAATTCACAACTATCAAGAGATTGAGTCCTCTACGTTGTTTTAGCAAAATTCTTAACTTTAGCATACAAGCCTTAGTCCTTCCTCTAAAGGAGCGCTCTTGGGGTCTGCAGCATCCCTCAGGTTTCAGATTTACGGAAGACCTTAAGGAATCCTCTGCGGATCTCCTTAGTCTTGACGCTATAGATAATAGGGTTGAGCATGGGAGGTACAAACAGATAAACATTGGCCATCATAACATGAACAACAGCTGGAGCACTCTTCCAGAAGCGGTGGGTCATGGAGACAGCAATTATGGGCACATAGAAGGCCAGCACCGCACAAATGTGTGACATGCAGGTGTTGAGTGCCTTTAGCCGCTGCTCCTGGGATGCAATGACCATCACAGCTCGCAAGATCAATGCGTAGGACAGAAGGATGAAAACGGAGTCCACGCCATAAGTGGAAATGACTACAAAGAGTCCGTAGACATTGTTGACATGGATGTCCCCACATGCCACTTTCATCAAATCCGGATGGAGGCAGTAGGAGTGATGCAACACGTTGCCCTTGCAAAACGGCAAACGCTTCACGAGGAAGGGGAAAGGGAAGAGGGTACTGAAGCTTTTGGTGAGGATAGCCAGGCCCATAGCCAAAATGCGGCTGTTGGTAAGCACCGCAGAATAACGTAGTGGGTCACAGATAGCCACAAAACGATCAAAGCTCATGGCAAGAAGTATGCCTGATTCCATGAAAGAAAATGTGTGGATGAAGAACATCTGGACCAGACAGGCGTCAAAACCAACATGGCGGTAGTTGAAGCAGAAGGTAGCAAGCACCGTGGGAAGCGTGGATAAGGACACTCCCAGATCATTGAGAGAGAGCATAGAGAGAAAATAGTACATGGGTTGGTGCAGAGGAGGTTCCCGAATGACCAGAGCGAGGATACTGAGGTTGCCTGCAATGGAGATGAAGTAGAAGAAGCAGAAGAGCAGGGCAATCCAAGCATGGCCCGTGTGCATCCCAGGAATGCCTGTCAGCTCTAGTGTGGCTGGCTGGAAGGGAGTGTCATTCAAGCCTAGCATGGCAGGCCGGTGGAAGAATACAGAGGAGAATTAGGCCCAAGAGGGGATGTGAGGAGAGCTCTTCACTTTCTTTCTTCCAGATATCCTGTCGCCATCAGAAAATGTCGGGCATTTAGTATGTGAACATACACTCTGTCTTCCCTATTAGACTATTAGCTCTTTCTTTCTGTACTGCCAAGCCAAGTGTACTCCCTAGGACAGAGGGAAATTCTATGAAGAGCTAATGATCAAATGGGTGCAGCAGGGTTAGCAGGACACATACACAAAGTCCTCTAGTCGTTACCATTGGATACACTACCTTACCACTTCCCCATATATTTCAGAAATCACATACTGGGACTTGGAAAGAAAGACAGAAATTAAGGTAGGACAGAAATAAGAAAATGCCCATGTCTTTGGGAACTCCCCAGTTCAAAACATAAATAAACTACATGCAGCCACAAAACTTCAGCTCCAAAAATCTTTAACCAGACTTTGCCTCAGCCTCCCAGTGCTATGCGCACCCTGAGATTGTTATCACATGTGGAAAGATTTGTGTTTGTCTACTCCCCAGCTCTCTCGCTCTCTAATGTTTGTGCATTGTTTAGGAAACTTTATAATTGCTCCATTTTCTTCTGTCAGCTGTATGTTTTTCCTGCTATACTCCCTACTGAGACAGTTACCCTGATCTCTGCCTTTCTTCTCTTTGAAAGTTTACATAGTAAACCACAAACATTTTAAAAAATCTATAATCAGGTTAATCAAAGGAAAGAAATAAAATATTTTATTGGCATTGCATATACTATTATTGCTACTTAAAATTTTAAATGTATTTACACCTTTATCCATGCTTAGCCCAGCTTTGTGAGCAGACGTCTCTTCTTTTCCAATGACAGGCGCTCTGCTTAAGATTCCACTCCTATCACTCCTTCCAGACTCTTCTCCGGGCTCCTGTACAGTCCCTTCAGTCTCGTTCCTCTTCCGGTTCTTTGTCTTCAGACAATAACTGTGTGCAGACGTAGCCATCATAAAGACATGGTAACCTTTCTCTCAGATTTCCAGCTGTTCCCATAGTCAAATTCCTTTCTTTTTAATCTCTCCTGACACCAGGGAAGGTTATCTGCTTGAGTGTCAGCTTCTCTGACGTGATTCTGAGACTCTTGCTGCCAGGAACTTGACCTGGTGGAACTTAACTTGCTAGTGTTGCATTTCCTTGTACTGCAGATAGCGCCCCCCCCCCCCCCCGCACGTATCTTTCTCTGTGATGGCCTCTTCGTTTCTAAATGTGAGGAATACATTTTCCTAGCACAACAAATTCCCTTTCAGAATTCATATTGATGGTAACTCACCTTGTTAAAGCTGCTTTTCTCCCTGAAGGAAACTGCTTCTTTTTTCAGTTTTCCTACTGAACACACACTCCCCTCACACAATACACTCTGACCACAGTGTACTCACCTGCCAATCTTCCCAATTCCCCACACTTCTCCTCTCCCCCAGATACACTCCCCCTCCATTTCCTTTCAGAGCTGCTGCTTAACTTTCTTCCTGCACTAACTTCTCTGTGTATCCTTTCCTTTTCTTTAAATAATAATAATATTTACCATTTTTCACTTTGTATCCCAGATGTAGCCCCCTCCCTCATCTCCTTCTGGTCCCACCTTCCCTCCCTCTTCTTCGCCTATCCCTCTTCCCTAGCGCACTTATAAAAGAAGTCCCTGTCCCCTGTCTGACCCTATAGCCAACCCACAGAGGAAGAGCACCCAGGCAGTCCTGATGTGTATCTTTTCTTTATGGGAACTCTTTCTCTGTCATTGTCTTTAAGCAGCTACAATAATGCCAGCAAAATAATTAATAAAAATAGAGTCACAAACACTGAGAAACCATGCCATAAAAGACTAACTTTATAGTCTTTAGCTATAGATGAGTCCATGATACTGGACAGTCGAAAATTAAAGCTCTATTTTAGAACATACGTAAAATGGCACCTTATATCCTTTGCCATTTGTAGAGTTGTCTTTCTATTCTTAATACTCTCAGTAAGCACACTAGAATTTGATGGTGACGAGAGTCTGAAGAGCATAAACGTACAAATCATAATCCTAAAAGTGTATGGGATGTGAGTCAGAACTCTACTTCACAGTTTCTGTCTCCATGGGATTTCTTGTCATCTATTCTCTATTCTCTTTCTATTTCAAACCAGGGTTAAAATTGATAACTCTAATAAGTCTTTTTAGTGCCAGCCTATACAAATCTTATTTTTTAACTATTTTTATTTTAGACTGTCTCCAGGTCAAGTAGAAATGGAAAAACTGACAACTCCTAAGAATGCTTCCAAGATATAGATTAAACCCAGTTCCTTTTTCCTTTTCTCTGGTGAGCCAACTGAAGGTCTAGGAAGGTACTAGCTTTCATGTCTGCAAAGAAGCTGCGAAAACTTCCCACAAAAAGCAAATCACACTCCAACTGAGGTCTTTCCCTTGATTTATCTATGTTTGTGTATTAGTCAAAGTCCCCCAAATGAAAACACTCTAGGAATACAGGTCAGAAGACAGAACACAGTGTGTATGAGCATGTACATTTCCTGAGCCTCTCTAAAACCTTATAAAATGCACATTTATACTTCCATGAATGCATATCAAGTCACCATATCACATCCATAAATGTGACATGGATACATAGAACCTACTACATCCTCCTTTGTTATACCTGACACTATTACACCATAGAACTTAGGAAAATTTATGGACTCTTATAGGTACTACATAATATAGTATATTTCAAATGTTTGCTCATTTTTGTTCTCTCCTTTACTTATAAATACACTCTCCCACACAAACACACACAAGGCACAACAAACGCATCATCATTAACAAATCCACAATAACACTAACCTAATTATATTCTCATGAAACAGTCAACACAGAAATCAACCAAAATTAAAAAGCATGTTGTTGAGTGGCACATTTGTTTCTGTGATATTTTTTTTGGATCTGCATACACAAAATCTGGGGAAAGGAAATCATAATTCAAAATACAAGCTTTTAAAACAAGTAGTTTGGAAAACCCTCAAGCAGAATATAAACTGGCTGCATCAGCCTCTCAGCCTCTTGACAGGTAGTCTGGGAGTGGAGCTTTGAGTCAGATGGGAACCTGGCATAATTTCTCTGTGATCCTTGACTTTAAAAGGATATATATTCCGTCCTTGTGTGGAAGGGAAATAGACAGGTTATAAAAACAACAGCATTGACACTATCTGGATAAGAAATACCATGGTCGGTGTGGGGGAGGAGCACTCACTGAAGCTGTGTCTTTTCTTTGCAGCTGTACGTGCTGTGATGTGGGTCCAGCCGGCACAGCGGCCCCAGTTCATCTCTCTAGGACATAAATTTATGAAGTCCTCCAAGTCTCCAAACTCCTGTATGAAGCGAGGAGTGGAAAGGGGCACAATTAGCAGAGTGGCATCAATGAACAAGGAAGCTGATGCAAATGGGAGCTGGTCCCAGGAGGGTCTCATTCCTTTGCCTTAGTATTTTTATGTTGTCCTCTGCTCCCACCAGTGTGTCCATTCTTCCTTGACTGGGAATGTTAGCACACTGCATTTGATGCAGTCACATGCGTAGTTGTTGGGAGGACACACGGGCACACCCTCAGACACTCAGTTATGTGCTAATATTCACATCCTGCATATTTGCAAGAAGCTAAAGAACCACATAAAATGTTGAATTGCAATAAATGACATAAATGTTCACATATTTAGGGAGAAGTAATTAAACCACGACTTTTAAAGGTTTCCAAAAGTCAAGATATGAATATGCAAGTAGTTAATAGGATGGGCAAATGAGGAGAGAGAAACCATGCACAAACATTTTTTTCATTAAACACACACACACAGTGTTATAAACAAAGAGCCATCTGTCCTCCTTGGACAGGTCAGGTTCTGAAGACAAAAGTAGGAGTCACTAACGCATACATGTTAAAGCAGCTTCCAGAGAAATATGGTGACTTTGTAAAAGAGGATTGTTATGTACAACAAAATTATTCCTCACAAGTTGACAAAGTCATCAGAGACTTGGTCGTGCCGTATGGTCTTACACTGAGTTAGTTAGCGCTTTGCATACTGTTTGTTATGAACGTGAAAACCCATGGAGACTATTTATCCCATACTACTATTATGATCCATGTAAAATGAATTGTGTTTATATTCTAACAAGGCAAGGTTTGCATGCCTTAGAATCCACTCCTTACTCGTGTATGTCTGTTCTCCATAGAGCAAATGCTCAACTGTTATTTTTGGAATATTCCAAGCTATATCAGCCATGTTTCAGATAAATCCAACTGGTGGGAATCATCCACAAATTAGAGCCTGTCCCAGGCTTCCATCGGGGTGTTTCTAACATACATCACACCTCTTCCACTACTTCTGTTCTTGAGCGCATTTTTGCAGGTATCTAATAAAACCACCTCAGATCTTTACACAGTAGTAGCATCTGGCTGTTGAAAATCTCCAGGATGTATCAACATCTGCTCTTCACTTTGTCTGTTGCTTTGGGATCGGCCTAAACAATTTCTGGGATACAATTCACTTCAAATTATTGTGTTGATTAAACTGTAATATCGCTCTATTCCATCTTCATTGTTATTTGTTTGTGATTTTTTAGATTCTTTTTTGTTGTTTTTATATTAATTACAGTTAATTCACTTTGCATCACAGCTGTAGTAGCCTCTCTCATCCCCTCCCAATCCCACCTTCCTCCTTCATCTCTTCCCATGCCCCCCCTCCAAATCCACTGATAGGGGAGGTCCTCCTCCCCTTCCCTCTGACCTTAGCCTATCAGGTCTCAACAGGACAGGCTGAATTGTCTTCCTCTGTGGCCTAGTAAGGCTGCTACCCCCTCAGGAGGAGGTGATCAGAGAGTCAGCCACTGAGTTCATGTCAGAGACAGTCCCTGTTCCCATTACTATGGTACCCAAATGGACACTAAACTGCTGCCATGGGCTACATCTGAACAGGGGTATAGGTT